TATTTTATTCATGTTTTAAATTTACCTTTGGCAAAGTTTACTCTTTTTGGTGAATTCTGACAAATGTGTTAAGTCATGTAACTAACAGTACAGTCTAGGTAATATTTCTGTCACCAGAGAGAATTTCTTTTATGCTGCTCTTTGTAGTCAGCACTTTCCTGACCCCCCAACCCTTGGCAAACACTGACTGACCTGCACTTTATTTCCATAATTTGATCTATTCCATAATGTCATCTAAGTGAAATCATGCTATCATGGAATTGTATGCAGTCTTTTGAGACTAACTCTTTGGATTAGCATATTGCTTTTGAGATTCACCCATGCTATTGAGTGTATAGTAGTCCCTTGCTATGACTGAGCAATTATCTTATTGTCTGGATACACATAAGCTTCACTTTTATCCTTTTATCTCTACAGGAAATTTTGAGTTTAGAGTTGGGGCTTTTATGAATAAAAACCTATAAACATGTGATTATAAGTTTGAGGGTAATACCCCAAAGAGAATAAAATCATAGCATTTGCAGGTAAATGGATGGAGTTAGAGAAGATAATGCTAAGTGAAGTTAGCCAATCCCCCAAACCAAATGCTGAATGTTTTCTTTGATATAAGGAGGCCAATTCATAGTGGGATAGTAAGGGGGAGCATGGGAGGAATAGATGAACTGTAGATAGGGCAGAAGGGTTGGAGGGGAAGGGAAAGGGCATGGGGTTATTAATGATAGTGGAATGTGATGATCATTATTATCCAAAGTACATGCATGAAGACATGAATTGGTGTGAATATACTTTGTGTACAGCCGGAGATATGAAAAATTATGCTCTATGTGTAATAAGAATTGTAATGCATTCCACTGTCATATACATAAAAAAAGTTTTGAGGTAAGTGGGTTGGGATTACATTTTCTCATTTTTAAATGCTACTGGGAGTAGCATTGTTGAGCCACCTGGTAAATGCACATTTACATTTATAATAGACTGCTAAACTTTTTTTCCAAACTAGTAGTTCAAGGTTGAATTCTCAAATGCTGTATGTGTGGGAGTTCCAGTTACTTCACATCCTTATCAATACATGTATATCAGTTTTTAATTTTGAGAATTCTAACAGATTTTGTAGTGGTGTCTTATATATTTTAATTTTTATTCCCTTAATAGCTAATGATAAGTATAAAAGTAATGATAATAATATTGAACATCTTTTCATATCCATTTTGCCATACATAGACCTTTTTGGTGATATGTCTGCACATATCTTTTGCCATCTTTCTTCTTTTTTATGGTTATTTTCTCATTATTAAATTTTGAGAATTTACAAAATATATTCTGTATATAAGTTCTTTGTCAGAAATATGAATTGAAAATATCTCTTTCTGTGTGTCTTCATTCTTCTAGTAGTGTCTTTAATAGAGAAGTTTTTACAATAAGGCTCAATTTATTCATTTAAAAAATGGATCTTGCTTTTGGTTTAGTATTTAAGAAATCTTTGCCTAATGTCAAAGTCCACAGGAATTTTCTTCTCTTTTTTATTTTATAATTTTGTCATTTTAAGTTTTTACAATTAGGGCTCTCATCCATTCTCAAATATTATTTATAAGGTATGAAGGATTACTTAAGGCTATTTTCTTCTTTTGTTTTGTGAATTGCCCCCCCCCCCTTTAAAGACAGTTCTATAATGAATTGTCTTGGCACCTTTGTCAAATATAATTGATCACTTTCTTTCACTTCTGGCCAAGATGAAGTAAGTTGGAGTTATATGACTAAAATGGAAAAAGGAGAATCCATGTTTTTTAAGACACCAGGCAATGGAAGAGTGTGGTTCTTAGGAGACAGGAAACAAATGAAGCAGCCTTACAGTTGTCTTATTTTACTGCCCTGAAAAACTGTCCATGCTACAATACAAAGAGAGAGGATTCCCTGGGTTGAAGAGAGAGATCAAGACTCTTATTAGTCCCTGAGATTAACACCACTGAAATTTGTAGGACACAGGGCTATAAGTGACAGAACGGCACAGATAATGAACCCTGGAGATGCCTTTTATCTAGTTAAAGAGTGCCTCTTCAATTCCTGATTTCTTGATAATGGTCTTGCTTTTGATCTCTGGTTGTTTGAGTAAGGGATCAATACTGAATTTACCAAATATATTTTTCTTGCATTAATGGAAATTTCTTCCTCATATTATACTATTTTGTTCCTCATCGACCCTTCCTCAGTTTGATTTCCTACTCTTGAATCCCTTGAGACAATCAGCATTAATAACCTGGAGTGCAATCTTTCCTGCCTTACTCAATGCTCATGCAAACAGCAGTTGAAGCTGTGATTGAATTCAGTAACATAGGAGCACCTTAGATCATCTTTGAGCACCTGAAATAGCTGCTTCAATCTTGAATTTAAACCAATATATTTAATTCCACAAGAGTAACTCATGCTAGTTTTATCTATTTATATTTAACCTTATTCAAGTACAAAGTTTTTTTTTTTTTTTTTTACATTTTCTGTATGCCTGGTAATATGTAAAGCACAGAAGATATAATGATGGTTCACCGGGATCTGAGGGTACAATTGTAGAGCAGGAAGCAAAGTTATAACCACATACTATAGAATCTGAGGAGAGATTCTCCAAAGATCATGTCTTGGAAAAGAGAAGCTGAGTTTTTGGGAAATCAGTATTTCTTTTGTTGTTTTCTGTTCCTGTGGAAAGTTCTGAGAAGGAGTTAGAGTTGCAAGTACTGATTGGTCATTTGGATAACATTTAAATCCACTGGAGTAGAAAGTATAGCAAAATTGGGGATTTGTTTTTTATCCTCAAACAGCGTAAAAATAAAATTTGGAAAGATATGTGTGCCTCATAGGTAGGAACAGTTAAAATAGCGGGAAAGGACAACTGTTTTAGAGTGAAAAGGGAAGCAGATACACTATGCAATAATCAAATAATTCTATGGTCTGTTACCACAATACTATAGAATATGCTCATAAAAATATTCTAATTTATCCTAAAAATGACATACCTGACTGACTACATTATGTTCTGTATGCTTTAATTTTAAACAAAGGAAATTAAAACATTTTAGAAAGAATTCTATCAAACAAAATTAAGACAAACTTCTTCCCCAAGTGAGGTAAACTTAGAAATTATGCCAAAAATGAAGTTCTCATACCTTCAAAAGAAATACTTTGTGTACAATCAGTGTCTTGAAAAATTTTGCTCTATATGTGTAATATGAAATAAATTGGATTCTGCCATCATGTATAACAAATTAGAATAAATTAAAAAAATTTTAAAAAGTCAAAATGATCATTCTAAATAACTTCTATCAAGTAAATTCAACCTATAACCCATTTAATTTTTAATCCAATTTAAAATTACTGTTTGGCTCATGCCTTTGTGAAAATATTCATTAAAACAAAGGATTTAAGATTTTTTCCTACTATCTAGGGAAAATCTTCAGATAATCTTTGCTGCTTCTATTTTTTGGGGATACATCCTTTTATATCTCAAACTACATGCTAGGATTAAAAAAATGTTACTGACTTTAAAGAAGAGTGGCTCCTTGTACATTTTTAGTTTGCTTAGTGGAACAAGAATTTGTAGAAATACCACTAATCCTCTGCCCCCATCCCCAAATTATGTAGCTTAGTTTAATTAAAAGTTTTCTGCCATCATAAGCCTAATAGGGTTAAGTTGTCGTCTTATACAGTTTCAGGGTGGTAGAGAAAATTTTCTCATGGTTTCACAATGGTCTATCATTCCTAACTGGCTTTCATGAGCTGACTAATATAATGTCTAGTTTAATTCCTAAGAGGAAGGAAAATAATATTAAGTGAATAGATCTCAGAATAAGAACCCAGAAATATTGTCTTTGAGTTATTTGATTATATGTCGAGATCACTTTTCTTTCCTCCAGAGCAATTAACTATCTTTTTAATGTACATATTGTTATCTCCAAAAAATTATTAGGCAGCGGACAATGACATTCTCAAAGAATATTACTCTTCAGGAAGATGGACCATTTGGGAAAAGTAAAGCAGACTAGAAGGGAAGGTACAGAAACAGATGATCAGAACAAAGTAAATCATAAGAATGGATTATGTGGTCAATACTATAAATTTACCTTGAGTAAGAGAAAAAAGACACAAGTGAACATTGATGCCTGTTTCCTTCTTTATTAACATATTTTAAGGGCTGGTGATGTAACTCAGTGGTAGAGTACTTGCCTAGCATGTGTGAGGCACTGGGTTCTATCCCCAGCACTGACAACACAAAACAACAAAAATATATTTTTCAAAGTTTCATATATTAAATGCCAACTATGTTGCTGCTTAATCTTTCTTCTCACGGAGGCCAAAAATATGGATGTACCATAGATTAGGAAAGACTGGCTTACATAAGTAAGTCTTTGTTCAGTCTGGGTTGAAAGTGTTCTAATTCCCTTTCTTCCTCCCTCTTCCTTCCTTCCTTCATGGTACTTTGGCCCATAAAGAACAATTGGGTTGAATCTTCTAAGATGGAATTACTTCCTGCCCACAGCTTTAGATATGGAGTTTCAAATATTGAAAATTAATCATTAACTAATTCGAATTCATTTTTTAAATTCATGAAATGAGAAGAATAATTGGCATAGTGAGCTTTCATTTATATGCGAGACTGGCTATTTTGCCTATAGAAATAATTAAGTAAAATAGAATAAAAATATAAACTCTTTTCAAATAAGTGCTGAAAGACTCTGCCCACTATTTTTTTTCCTGTCAATTAATTTTCTAGTGATTTGCCACATGTTTCTAGGGGTTAATGAATGATACAGGGTATCATTCATATTTTGGCAGGGTAAATAAATTTTGTATAGATTATGGAATTTAAATTTTGTATAGATAGCAAGTTCAGGAGAAATGACTTTTTAAATTAGCCAATTTGTAACTCACTCTAAACATTAGTGCACAGTGCTTCTGATGAGTGTTTGGCCTGATTTTCGCACCTTCCCTTTTCTTTTTCTTTTCCTGCTCTTTAGGTCCCTCAAGACCCACTGAAATTTTACAAGAAGATTTACTTTTGCCGCAATTGCCAGCTCTATTTGCCTTCTACGGAATTTGCCATCTCATCCACTTCGAAGCACATATACAGATGTCGCCACTGCACTAACCTCCAGAATGAGGCTAAACAACGAGAAGCATTTTTGAAGTACAAGTGTTTACTTCAGCGGCTGTACTCTTCAGAGGCGGATTATGAAGATGACTCTCAAATTGCTTTCTTGATGCAGGTATGGTCCATATGGGGTGCCATACCTGGCTGAAATGAGTCCGTCAAGGATGATGTCTTGACAGGAAGTGGTTGCAGTTGAACGTGTGCTTGGGTGTGAAATACCACCCCCCTGTTTTCCTAATGTGGACAGTGATTCCAGCCCTGAGTTGTAGGCGTAGACATGTTCTTGGTATGTAAGTACTGTGCTTTGCCCTGGAGATGCACTAGTGACCAGACCCTCCATCCTGGAAAAGATAGACATTAAAAAGTAGGACAAGTCCTTGTAACAGCAGATGACAGTGTGATGAGGAGAAGTGTGGAGACCATGCAGGATTTAGAAAGGGAACTTAAGCTGATTTGTGGGCCAGAAAAGGCTTCCTTGAAGATATGACCTACAGGATGAGACAGAAGAATGAGTGGGAATGAGTCTGGTGACCATGACAAACAAAGTGTCACAGGCTCAAGAGCATTGTTCAGGAAGACCCAGGGCCAGAGGTGGCACTGTGCTGTGGCAGCAGAGATGGCAGGCATATTATGGGCATCTGATTTTTAGATGAGGGAAATATAATACACTTAGTGCTGTTGGGGGAAATGCAGGAGAGAGAGAGAGAGAGAGAGAGAGAGAGAGAGAGAGAGGGAGAGAGAGATATGGAGAGAGAGAGATATGGAGAGAGAGAGATATGGAGAGAGAGAGAGATATGAAAGACACAGGGCCGGATGTTGGAGGCAGCAAAACAAATTTGAACTCTGCTTCAACAGCTGTGTCTTGACATGCTACTTAACTTGTATGCTCCTCAACCTACTTGCCTGCAAAATGGGGATATTCGTAGTACCTACTCCTAGAGCTATTGCAATGATTAAAAGAATTAGTAGAGGATAAGGCAGTGAATTGTTTAAATAAGATGAATGAGTGGAAAAAAAAATGATTATGATGTCCAACACGGCTTGTAGATTTCCCTCTGTTAGGACGAGGATCATCTCCTCTCTTGAATTTAAGGGAGGAAATATCTGTAACGTATTCTGATTCTGGCCAATGAAAGATATCTCTAGAAGGGACAGTGAAAGAGCACAAGAGGAAGGAAGGTGGGGTGTGACTAGGTAAGTGGGAACCTGGTGTAGTAGAGTGAAATAATTAGGAAACAATAGAAGATCCCTCTGGCTCTCTCAGAAGTCCCAGGAAATAGAGGTGTGGCAAACACAGGTGGTTTATAGTGCTGTCAAGGTGAGTCCTGTGTGAGGCAGCTGTTCCAATCAGAGTCCTGTTCCTACTTGTCCTGTTCCTACTTGTTCCTACTTGAGACAGGCATAGGTTAAGAAGCCTCATTTTCCAAAAATGGTGTGAAGCCCTTGCTTCGCTCAGAGGTGGTGTCCTTTTGCTAGGCCTTTCTTGGCTCTAAAAAACAACGCTTTAAGCAATGCATTTCAATGGATTTGTCAAGATTCTCTTCACAGTTCCTTTTGAAATGCATTCTAGATGATACTAAGTAATAATTGGGTATTATTTTCACTGTTTAGTCTACCCCAAAATGAGAAGATATCTCTTCAGTTTTAAAACATATAATAACTTTGGACTTTTCCAAGAGTAAGGAATGGGCAATGAAGAGGAGAAGGGAGCTGTGAGGCCAGCTCTTATGCTTTTCTCTGCCTTCCCTGGAGCAGAAACTATGGGCAATTATAATATCCAATTACAAATATTCCTATATTTAAAGCAAGTTTAATTTTTAAAATATTCATTAATAGAAACATTAAGATAGCAAAAGGCACATAAATATTCCTTATGAGACTCTTTAGGCACTCTTCTATTGTGCTATTGTATACATTAGCACTTGGGATGGGTGTTTGTGGTCTCCCAGTTTATTCTATTTTGTTCCAAAGGGGGAAAAATTATCATTTATGCAATATGCAGAAGCCCTTGACAGACACTATAATAGAGGCTGTTCCGGAAAAGTGGGCTTGTGTAGCTTCTTTTCAGGCATTGCTGGGGACTGGGGCAGAATTGAAAGAGCCCCCCATTCTGGTAGTAGGTTGCAAGACTACTGGGAGCTAGGCACACCACTGTGGTGTGTGATGGGTAGGGCAGTGGAGACCTGGAAAGCACTTCTGTGGAAGTCCTGGGGTGGGGGCTGCTTACACAGGGGCAGAAACACACTTTTGGGGCTGTTACTCATGTTAAAAGGTGTGGTCATTATGTGAATCAATTGAGAAAAGGATATTGTTGATGGAAAATAAATAAGCAGGGTATTTCTGAAGCCAAAGATCTTGACTAGTTCATAAAACTGTCAGTGTTAGAGAGGTTTTAAAACAAATACATCTTGAAAATTAAAATTGTAAAAAGAAAAAAAATGCTGTTTTCATTGTAGACATGGACTTTCCAAAAATCTTACTTTCCTATTTTCATTTTCGATTCATATGGGAATATCATGCCAGGTCAAAATAGGTTAATTCTGTTGATATGACAGTGATCCTTAACTAGAAAGGGAGGAGAGATGATTCATGAAAAGAATTTTTTTGTGAAAATCCAAAAGTTTCTTGCTAGATTTTTAAAAATTTTTATTAAATTTTAAACAGCAAAGTAACTAACTTCCAAGGACACAAAGGAATGTATGAGTGTAAAATGACTTCTGTAATAATTATATGTAATTAAAATCTTTTCATAAACATTTACAATTTTTATTTTTGACTTTGTACTATACTTTGTTTTCTATAAGGATAGATTTTTGTTAATTTATTCACTTAACAGAATTATTAATTCCTGCTGTGTACACAGGTAGCTTTTTAAGACATAATGATATGTCCAGAGCTGATGTTCTACAGAGGTGGAAAGGAAAAGATGAGAAAACAGTTAATAAATAAGTAAAGAGATTCCATCTCACCCCAGTTAGAATGGCAATTGCCAAGAATACAAATAACAATAAATGTTAGTAGGATGTGGGGACAAAGTTTCACTTAATACATTGCTGATGGGAATGCAAACTGGTGCCACACTCTGGAAAGCAATATGGAGATTCCTTAGAAAACTTGGAATGGAATACCTTTGACCCAGTTATCCCACTCCTCAGTTTACACCCACAGGACTTAAAATCAGCAAACTACAGTGACACAACCAGTTGAATGTTTTTAGCCACTCAATGCACAATAGCCAAGCTATGGAACCAACCCAGATGCCCTTCAACAGATGAATGGATAAAGAAAATGTGGTATATGTACACAATTGAATATTTTCAGCCATAAAGAAAAATGGAATTGTGGCATTTGCTGGTAAATGGATGGAGATAGAGAATATCATGCTAAATGAAATAAGCCAATCCCCCCAAACCAAAGGCAGAATGTTCTCTCTGGTATGTGGATGCTAACCCACAGCAAGGGAAGGAAAGATTAGAAGTTCATTGGACTAGACAAAGGTGAATGAAGAGAGGGAAGAGGGGCTAGGAATAGAAAAAGACAGTAGAATGAATCCGACATATCTTTCCTATCTTTATATATGAATATGTGACCAATGTAATGCCACATCACATACAACCACAATAATGGCATCCTAATTGGAACAAGTTATACTTATTCTATGTATGTCTAATATGTCAAATCACACTCTACTGTCATGTATATCTAGAAATAACAAATTTAAAAAAATAGAATAGATAAAACAATTTTTTTTCAGCTATAGTTAATTTTTTTGAATGATCTAATGAAAGAGAGTTACTGGGGGAGGAGGACTTTTTTAAAGATTGTGTGAGCTGATAAAATGACAGAAATAACTATGAAGAGACAGAGCTAGCCCTCACATCAAATAATTCTTTGAAAATTTGAAATGTATAGTTATGATTAAAGATGTATACTTTTCTTTGTATGTATGTCATTGTTACAGTCATGTATGTGTGTGAGAGAGGGAGAGAGAGATCATTTAATGACTAAACTGTAAATCAATCCTGAGAGGGCAGGGTTGTTCCTTTTTTTTTCTCCTTCTTATGATATATCTGTGTAACCTGATACATTGCCAAGACTGTATATCACTTAATAATTGTTGAATGAATGAATGATTCACTTTTCCAGAAATTGATGTTGCTTATAAACATACTGGTATTGGCAGATGATGGCAATTATTAGTATATACTGAAAGTGATTATGATGGTAATAATATGAAAGTGAAAGCTAAGCCTTATAGGCAATAAAACAAATGAACAAACAAGCAAATGAACAAACAAACAAACAACAAAAACAAACCTTAGGGAAGAGCTTTGAGTGGATACTTATCTTCCTAAATAAAAAGTTTCTTTTGGATAAACCATTGCATTGGATCATTGACCCCATTGGTAGTTTGTCTCATAAGAATAACTCTCAGCTTTGCAATAGAGTAGGCCTGTGAAATCAGAGACTTTGACCTGAATTCCTAACTTAACCACTACTGCGGTCTCTTTGGCTTTCCCATGATTTTCATTGTGTTGTCTAGGTCACAGGAGTCTTCAGTTCTACAAAATCAAATTCCTGACACTATTTGAATTTGATATGTAAAATGAAAAAAGAGAAGGATTTATTGATGAAATGACTTTGCCCAATGTATTAGTCAGTTTTTCATTACTGTAACAAGATACTTGAGACAGTCAGCTTATAAAAAGGAAAGGTTTATTTGGATTGAATGCTTTAGAGGTTTCAATCCATAGTTAGTTTTGGGCCTATGGCAAAGCAGCACATCATAGCAAGAGCACATGAGAGGAAATTACTCACTTCATAGTGTTACCGCTGTTGACCGGTGACGAGTCCTTGCTTCCCCGATGTTGAAGAATAACACCAAAGAAGCACGCTGAGGCAAGGTCAGAGTAGAAATTAGAAGTTTATTAAAGGACAGCAGAAAAGACTTCTCCCGGAGGAAGAAGGGGACCCAAGAGGTGGAATCCGTGGGAGGGATGTAGTCTCCCCTTTTTATAGTTCTTTCAGTGATGGAATGTAGGTGGGAAGGCCCCAGGGGTGGGACACAGGTGGGCCAAAGAAGTAATCTGGTCAGGAAGGACTTCTGAGTCAGCACCTTTTTGCTGGGGGCTGTTCATTAACATTTCTTTGAGGTGGACTTTGGCCTAGGGCCTTTTAGGGACTTCATTAACATTCCATGAGTTGTCCTGTGTTTTCCCTGAGTCATTCTCCGCATGGTCTCCATTTTAGATTTCACTCGATATTAGACCCGATTTACCTAACTACACTGACTACCTAACTTTAAATCTGGCTTCAATAGTGTCTAAGAAGCAGAGAGAGGGGAGAGATTTGAAGAAGAGACTGAGGACTCACAATTCCCTTTGCGGACATAATCCCAGTGACCTAACACCTCCCAATGGGGTCCACCTTCTAAAGTTTCTAGCACCTCCCAAGAGTGCTAAGTTGGGTCCAAATCTTTTAACACATGGGCCTTTTGGAGACATTTCAGATCTAAACTATAGCACCCAACATTAGCAATATATTAATAAAAGTGAGTCATAAAAAGCACTGGTGATCTCAATAGGATATTTGTTTTATAAACTGTCAAGTAAAATTTTCTATAAAATCTTTAATTAAAATTAACTAAATTATATTTAATGCCAAATAGGAAATGAGGCAATATATTCTATGCAAAGTTAGAGTTAAAAAATATCTTCCAAATGTAGTGTGCTTTGTTCAAAACTGCTAAATCATTAACTTTCAAGCACTTGCTCACAATCTGTCACAACCTAGTACAGACACCCATGATAATAATGACAGTAATAATAACCATCATTCAAATAGTGCTTACATACTCTGTACACTTTATATATTCATTCACTCAACACAAATAATACTATCAAAATAGGAATTATTTCCATTCTGCAGATGAAGAAACTGAAGCACTGAGAGTTTAGCTGACTTGCCCCAATTTTATACTAGTAAGTACCAGCACGAGAACAGAAACCTAGGCAGACTGGTTCCCAGAGTCCCTCCATTTAAATGTGTACTGTACTGCCTCAGAAATAACAGTTTTCTGAAATAGTGTTTACTTTACCACTGTGGATGTCCTCTGATATTTTCTATTTAATTCAAATCTGCTTATTCTGATTTCTGTTTAGAGAATTTCGTGTCACCCAGAGGTAGCAATCCAGAGTTTGAAAAACAAATTGAAAAATGAGTGTGTGTGTGTGTGTGTGTATACACACATGTATATATACACATATACACTCTATATATACATAAATGCTATATATATGATATCCATATTCCAATGTGTGTGTGTGTGTGTGTGTGTGTATTCCAACAGAGTTAACATTTTTAAAAAATAAAGATGATGTTTACTTCAGGGCTTAAATTTTTATGTGCTTTTCTTAAAGAATTGTTGATGTTACTATTTTGGAAATCTTAGATTAGGGCTTTACCATAACTCACCTGTAAGTGCCATCTCAACATTTCATATTATATATTAGATAGATTTATTATAAGGAATTGGTTCACATGACTATGGAGGCTGGCCACGCCACAATATGCAAGCCAGTGTCCTAGATCAAATCTGAAGAACAGCAGGCTGCATAACTAGGAAGAGCTAGAGTCTAGTTCACAGGCTGTCAGGTGGGAGAGTTCTTACTTGGGGGGAGGGTCAACCTTTCATTTTCTTCAGGACTTCAGCTGACTTGATGAGACCTATCCATATTACAGAGGGCAATCTGCTTTACTCAGTCTACTGATTTAAATGTTAATCAAATCCCTTATAGAAGCACTCAGAATGCTGATCAACCAAATATCTAGAAATCTTGAGGTCCCATCAAGTTGATGTAAAATTAATATCACAAAAGTGGACATCTCAGAAAACATCCTAAGAGATTATTGCCTTTCTGTTCAGAATAGTGTCCATGAGTTGTAATTTAATTTGAATACTGTACATCTGTAGGGTTTGGGTCCTCTTACCTTACTTTTCTAATGTCCAGGATTACTACACAAATATGGGTGCCCAATTGCTCTTTTCCCTCTTGCAAGGGAAATAATTTTGATTAGTATTTAGTTCAGTAATATTATTAGCAGGCATATGACTGCTTGAACTTTCTGATCAAGTAAATAGGAAAGTCAGGGGCATTGGTAAAGATCAGCATAGACTGAATTTGGACACAATGCCAAGTAATGTAAAAAGATGAAAGCTAAGATATGTAGAAAGTCCAGGTTCTATTTAGAGAAGAAACTGAGTGTGTTAGTGGTCACGTAGTTCATCTGTAATCCATGCAGAGACCATCTAATATAGTAAACAATAGTGTTGCTTTTTTTTTTTATTTTAAATATTTAAGTTGTTGATAGACCTTTATTTATTTATTTATTATTTATTTATATGTGGTGCTGAGAATCGAACCCAGTGCCTCATATTTGCCAGGCAAGTGCGCTAGCACTGAGTTATAGCCCCAGCCGTAGTGTTGCATATAAGGCAGTTCTTAGAAGTTGCCAATCACATTGATCATGTGCACAGTTCACATTTACATACAAGTAAATACTTCATTCTTTTGGGTTCAATTTTGAAATTATTAATACAATTGAGGAAAATAAAAACAAAAATATGAGCAAGGCACAAATTTTGAATATAAGTAAAACTGTACAAAGTGTTAATTTTAAAACACCATAGATTTCTTTTTCATAGCAGCTGTGATAATATTGTCTTTTTTAAAATTAAGTAAAAGTGAGATTGTATTAGTTGAGTTTAATATATTGAATGATCCATTTAAGAAATACTGTAGATGTTTATGGTGAAAAAAATCTTTTTTTTTTTAACTTTGATAAATTTGTTTAGGTTTTATCGCTGATCTTACAGAAAAGATTCCTGCTTTTCCACATAAATTTAAAAATAATGGTTCTTTTTGCAGTGCTTGTACTTTGTAAAGCTTGTATCTCCCTGACAATTAGATGCAGCCTCATGATAAAAAGTTATTCCAAGAATTTTAGCTAATATGATTTAAAATTTTAAAAAAAACTTTTAAACACTATTTTGTTTCACCACCTTTCCCTTTTTTTTCAGTAAAACAACAAAATATTTTAAACTAACACTAAGAAATTATTTCATCTTTATTAAATATCAGCTTTCTTATTTGTAAAATGGCAGTAAAAATTCTTACGAGAGTCCTACCATGGCCCTGAGGATGATAGTTTCTAACAAGTTTTTGAAAGAATTGAACATCATATGCTTACTAAGGCAATATTAAGGCATTGCAGTGATTATATTAAGGCAAAATTAGCATACTGGAAGAAATATACAGCTTACTCTAGGTTAGGGTCATGAATTAAGACTAGTAATATAGTTTAGGCAAAATATAAGGAGCTGTATTCCTCTGACACCTTATGAATGATATTTGCATTAAAAAATAAACTGAACATAATTTAATTAGATCTTCAAAATTCTTTATTTAGAAGAAAACAAAATTGCCTTTCAAACTTATTTTGACCTGCAGCTACAGGATATTCAGTACTTGATGGAAAACATCTGGGCCTCACAGTCGGTTCTCAGCGCCTGGGACGATATCAATGATCTGGTCCTAGTCAGATGGGATAAAAACCTAGAGTGGTCTCCCTGGAACTGCATTCTTCTCACCAAAGATGAAGCAGTTGCTCATCTTAAGCTAACAAGTATTGAAGAGGTAAGAATTTGTGCTTCATTTGGGAAGTTAATTTACTCATTGGAATTATCATGGGTAACTTCATTGCCTTTATATGCATTCCATGATTGATTTAAATACTTCCCCATTGGATTAAGAAACAGAATCTAGGGGCTGGGGATGTGGCTCAAGCGGTAGCGCGCTTGCCTGGCGTGCATGCGGCCCGGGGTCGATCCTCAGCACCACATACAAACAAAGATGTTGTGTCTTCCGAAAACTAAAAAATAAATATTAAAAAAAAAGAAACAGAATTTATAGATTAACAGTAACAAAACATGTGGATGATATGGAAGGCAGAGGTTAAAATAACTAGATTATATTTAATTGTGTGCATGTACAAATATGTAGAAAAGAATTCCACTATTTTGTGTAATTATTATGTACCAGTAAAAATATATTTTTTTAGATTACAAAGGGAAGCTATAACATATAACAGGTAAAGATAAGTGATTTGAATGAAAAAATACCTAAACATCATGCCACTACCTTCTAACAGCAAGTTCAAGCCCATTAATTCCACAATTATTTCCATGAGGGTAAAGATTTTGTTTCATTTATTTGCATCTATACTCTAATACCCATAATTGTGCCTGTCACTGGCTAGGAGTTTTAATAAGTACTTATTGAAAAACTAAGTAAATATTACTACCAGAAAGGTATTATGAAACTCAGCATCTGTCCTTTGGTTGATTAATAATTATCACAAGGTTGCCTAAAAGTACACTCAATTGACAAATGTATTTTGTTCATAATTTTGTACTTTAGTACTGATGGGGCTTTTTTTTTTTTTTGCTTCTAACTTGGATTGGAGAAAGCACTGCCAAAATTAAAAACCATTTAGTTTCAATAACTTACAAGATGCAATCTGTAAAACATTTTGATGAACAAAATTGAGGGCCCCCTGAAGAGTTCCTAGAGAGCTCCATTTACACTACCCATGCCCAGCATCCCAAGGCTGATACTGATTCTTTGCCTTCAGTTGGTTACACTGCTGCACCTTCAATTCCAGGCATGATGTCAGCTAAAGGAAAATAAAGAAATGATGTCAAATAATCATTTAGAATAGTGCTATTCCCTGCCTGTTTGTTTTTAGAGTGGGGTAGGTTTACTTGTCTAGTATAAAAGGAGAGACTACTTAAATGTTTTAGCTTTTTTTTTTTTTTCAATAATTTTCAGAGTCTTAAGTATTCAGGATAAGAAAAATTTTACTCTAGGGATTGAAAGAAAGGGCAGCAAGAAATTGAGGCTGTGTTAAATGTTATATTTAGTAAACTAAGCTGCCTTATAAATATTTAATCACTGGAAGCATAGCCAATACTAGCAATATCATTTCATCTAGGACCCAAAATAAGATTGAAGTTCATTCCCAGCGCTGATATTCCAGTGCTTCTTCAATTAATCCACACAACTCCCTTTGTGTATTTAATGAAATTATTGCAGTATCAAATTAAATGTCCTATTCACAAGCATTTTTTTTTTATGATTACAATTCTTTTTTTTTTTTTTGTGGGTTCACAAGCATTTTTAATTTCAGGGTGCCAATCTTTCTGAATTTCTGGAAGCAAAGCGGAGGTTTTCAGCCAAACTTAAAAATGTTTGCCTTTTTTTATGGTTTGGGCTGATATAATCTTTTAAGTAGTAATATTTGGTCTAGTTAAAGAATATTGTATGTTTTATAACAAGTTAAAGAATTTCCAGAATTTCCTTGGTGCACAGAGATAAATGCTTTCTCAGGAAGTCAAAAACTTAAAATTTAAAATAATCTTGACTCCCTGCAATCTCACAAGTTATAGGAAAGGCATGGAGAAAGACTTCTGTTCTGTGAATCTAAGGAAGGCAGATGGATCTCTCAAAGTGTGCACATTGGCCAGAGTAGGAACAATTGTGGACTAAAAATCAGCAGTCCTGACCCAGTTCTTCCCTAGCTTTTTCACTAACAACCTGCCCTCTTTGCTTCATGAATTTTTAGATTATCTAAAAATGTGGAATCTGTAAAAAGAACGAAAGCAGCCCTGTCTTTGAATTCTGGCATTCTCCTTTATGAGTTAGGTTTGGGGAAGGTTGCTAATGTCTTGATGACCCAGTTTTCTCATCTATAAAAAGGAGATAATGTTATCTCATCACAGGAAAGAACTGAATAGCCTACTGTTTAAAGCTCTCAGCTTAGTGTTGTGCATGAATCAACTTGGGTAGTAACTATGTATATAAAATGACAGTATTTTAAAAATTTTTTGGTGCATTTTATTTTTAATTGTAAGAAGAGCAATGCATTATTGGTTTAAGTATATGAACAGGTTAAAATAATATAAAGAATAAAAGTCTCCTGATATCCACCCATCCCTATATGCACATTCCATAGAAAACTTTTATTTCTTATATACAATTTAATGAAATCTTTCTAAAAGTGTCTATGTGCAAGTATATTTGTGTGCACATATACATGCCTACATATATGTATATATACACATATATTTACACATACTTTTAACTTAAAGTATGTACATATAGTTTCATTTATTTCATGTAAAAATTGCTGTGTAACTTGATTTTTTGGGTTGGCTTAACAATAGATAGTGGGTTACTTTCCATATTATATTATTTTTAAAGAGTAACTTAATATTTCCTTGAATGCATATACCCTAATATACTTGGCTCATCTTTTTTAATTTTTAGATTTGTAAGGATACTTTGGAATCTACAAGATTTTATACATGTATACATTAACCTAGCAACACAGAAATGTTTTAGTTTTCCTTGGATGAAATACGGACAAACGTTGGAACAAAATTAGATTAGTGCCAGGGACAAGTATTTATCTACTAAATTTTTCTGTAAAGAGGAAACTTTAAAAAAATCTAGGATATTTCTGTATAAAACTTTCTGTAAAAATACTAGCCATTGTATATTCTATTGTCATGTATAACTAAAAAGAACCAATTAAGAAAAATGAATACCAAATCCACTGGCCCTTTTTCCCCAGGGCTGACTTTACCTTAGATTTGACCGTATAAAGAGATTTTTAGTGGGAGAATTTCTTACTCTCAGAAAGTAATGTACAGGTGATTGGTTGAAAAGAGAATAAGAGTAATAAAGAGAATAGATAAAGTTTATTAATTTAATCAGAATTTACCTTTAAAAAACATTTTTAGTTGTAGATGGACACAGTATCTTTATTATATTTATATGTGGCGCTGAGGATCGAACCCAATGCCTTACACATGCTAGGCAAGAGCTCCACCACTGAGCTACAATGCCAGCCCACCAGGATTTACTTTTGAATGTATTAAATATTATGCAAGGTGCTTAGAGAAAAATGCAGAAATATAATGAATGTGATTCATCATTGTTTTGGATGCTTTCAGGCTTAACCCCAACATGAGAATGAGCCATTTATCATGACTTGTCAAATGTGAGTCTAGTTTCCTTTATGTAGCAAGGTCAGAGGTTGGCAGTCCCAGGCCAGTGTGGTAGGAAACTCAGGCTCTTGGAAACTCAGGCCTTCTGATTTCCCTCAGCCAGCTTCAACCTTTGTTTTTCATTCTCATGCTTGTGGATTCTTAAGTCATAAATTGGCATAAATTACATTATATCTCACCCCAAGTATGGTCAAGGACTAAATATGCTTCATACGTGAGTCTTCCCATTCTTAAAAATCTCTTCAAAAAACTTTTCTGTAGCTAAACTGTGTGTGTGTGTGTGTGTGTGTGTGTGTAAATATAAATTTGTTACTTGTTACATGGCAATTCCTAGCTTGAATAAAGACCAGAAAGTTGGGAACATCTAACCCTATATAAAACTAAGCCTGTACCTATAAATGGAAAAGAGAATGAATATTAGATAGGTAACTTGCAGTGGTTTGGACTTGAGAGGCCAGAAGAAGACTCGGGGAAGGCTTCCAGTTTGAAACATCATAGACTGAGCCCTGAAAGATAACACAAAGTAAGAGAAAACAGGCAACAAACCTGTATTCTGTGGATAATGAACTTTTAAACAAAGACACTGAGACACAGCAACGTTTTTACCTGATGACATATATCTGTGGTGATTTTTAATATAATTTAATTTTCTTTTCTTTTCAGGAATATGGACAAGTATTTATCCACAAGATCAAACACAAACATATCCTGGCTAAGAACTACTTTTCTCAGATTCCAGCATTGGCTTCCTATATACTTGATCATGGAGAATTTAATGAGATCAGAAAAAAATATTATACTGATACATCACCTAAAATTATAAAAGTCAATGGGCCTCATTCTTAGAGGATCCAGAAATACTTGTTTGATGACAAACCTTTTCATCCACTGCTAAGAGAGTAATACAGTAGTTGCATGATATGGAAATGGAATTTTATCTTTTTATTAATTTTAATTATATTTTGTTTTTCATAGTATGATAAATTGTGTGAAGAGAAAACATCTCTATAAATGTTTCTTTGTTAGGCATTAGTTTTAAACTGAACTGTGATTTTGTTACTGAAATGAATAATTTAAAGAGAACCTTTAGTTTTAAATTTTTTCACGCTAAATTAAAAAAAAAGTAAATGCTTTAGAGTTAAAATACAACATCCAAACAAAAACAAGGCCTAACATTTAATGCAAATAATTTATTTAAGATAAAATATAATTGTAGGAGAGTAGTCAGAGAATTCTCTTTCTTGAAACTCTATAAGTAGGATGAAAGACTGTATTTCAATATAGGAATTCTATCTTTGTCTTTTAATATCTACTTTTATCTTCTTTCTTAAAATCCCAGTAAAATAACTAAAACTATTTGTAAACACAGACATAATAACCTGCATTTAATTTTGTAAACAAGGCAAATAGTGGAGCTACTATTCTATGAGAAAAATAACTCCCCATGGGGCAATGGTGAAACTCTTTGGCGAGAATAGATATGATCAAGTCAGACACAACAGCCCAGAAGAATGACCTGGACCACATGTTTGTCAGGGCTCAGTGGTATATGCACAATTGTATATCAGTCTTAACAAGAAAGAGATGGCACATTTAAAATACCATCACTTCAGAAGAGGACCTATTATAAAATGTGGGTGGAGTATAGGGAAATAGTGTCAGAACCCAGGTCCAGTTTGAGGTGTGCAGAATCTACCTCTTCTCTCAAAGGAACCCCAGCGGGGGAAACCTGGGAACTCAGAAAAGAAAGAGTGCACAGAAGGCTTTGGAGAGGATCAGTGACAGACTATCCATGGCACTGCCAGCTTTGGGTGATCTCATGGAGAAAGAAAAAGAACCACCCCATTTCAAATTTCCCTTCCTCCAGTGTGCTTGGGTTTCCCATAAGCAGAACCCAAGGGGAAAGCTGGAAGAGGAGTGGTCAGAAGTCATATGCTTCAGGACAAAGAGCAAGGAGGATAAAGGGTTGGAGTAGATCTGGAGGATGGAGAGAAACTATCAACACAAAGAGGGAACTAAACATGAGGGTCTATAATTCAAACAGCAGCATTTCACTCACAATTATAGAAAAATGTAAAATTTCCTCCCAATTCTAATCAGCAATTAATGAAGCTGTTCTTTTAAGTTAAGTGATCAAGAATTTCATTCTGTATGCATATTTGATAACATTTTCGCAACACATTTTCTAGGATGTCTACACTTTTTCTTAGCAAAAGCACCTTGCATTGCCAATTGTTAAGGAACTGAACATCAGAGAGGAAAGTGATATAACACTTGTCATTTTTGTACACAATCCAGACATTTTGGGAACTTTCTAAACAACATATTACAGAGGGGACTAGATTAGGGACATTTAAAAAAAATTGTTCTAATTAATTATACATGAATGCATTTTTGACACATCATACATAAATGGAGTATAACTTCTCATCTTCTAGTTGTATATGAGGTAGAATCACACTGGTCCTATAATCATATGCACACATAGGGTAATAATGTACGATTCATTCTGTTATCCTTCCTACTCTAATCCCTCTCTCCTCCCTCCATTTCCCTCTGTCTAATCCAAATACCTCTATTTTCCCTACCCCCGCCCCCACTGTGAATTAGCAGCTGCATATCAGAGAAAACATTCAGCTTTTGGTTCTTTGGGATTGGCTTATTTTGCTTAGCATGATATTCTCCTGCTCCGTCCCTTTACCAGCAAATGCCATAATAGATTGGGGACATTTTGGTCACTGATAAAATGACAACAATTTAACACAGACATATGCAAGTTTACACTGGAACACAAGTAACCAGATTTTCCCACAAGACAGTGAGAATTTGACAGCTCTGAGAAGTGAGGGCTGGGAAGCAAGGGGGAGATAGATAGGGGTAAATTAAGAATTTAGGGATTCCCCTATTGACTCATGGGTGAAGCTGCTGACAGCAATGTAGGAACAGAAGTCTGGAGTAAAATTGACAGGGCTGGAAAGGTGATTTGAGGCCTGAGAGAAAGTCAGAGGGTGGGTATTTATTTCCCACCTGTTTCTTGATCTGTCATTGGTGGCTGCTTTTCTCTGCCCAAGCCCATGGCTCCAGTTGGGTGATCATCCCTCCCTCACTTCAACTTTGGATTCTGGAAATCGTTCTTTCCCTTTTCTCCTTTAGTTCACAAGTGAATGTCTTTCTTTTTGTAGCTAGTTTACTTTTTCTTGCTGGTTTCCTTAAATAATGTCTTCTCCTTTGTAAACAGTCTTGTTATTAACATGCTTCTCAAACTAAATAGCCTGAGTATACCAATTGGTTCCTGGTAGATCCTGACTAAAGCAGAAATTGATCCCAGGAGACCAACCTTAAAATGGAATCCTCGGCTTGGATTGCTCACACATTTGAGGAACATATGGGCATCCTCCTTGCTGGTGGGGGATAATGATAATAACGCAGCATGTGTCAGCAACATGGTTACTCAAATTATCATCGGTGGTGGCACAGCATGGGGTGCAGATGGAGAACAGAGCACAAGGAAGGAGATCCAGTGTTTGAGGGCTAGTCTACATATCCAGCAATTTTCTGGACCTCAAGCCTATATGTTAAGTTCTGAATTCTAGGTAAGAACATATATTTGGCTTGACATAATCTCTTACTTTATTATTTTTAGTCTAATATCCTTAGGGATATACTCTTACACTTACTCTTGGGACTCTTGATAAGAAATGCCAAGATGTTAGAGCTCTTCAGTGTACAGCTAATTCATATGAGGCCACACTTTGAATCAGTATCCTTAATGTAGAATGAGATCTGTTAGGAGTGCAGATTTAATTGACAGAACAGCTCTGTAAACCTTACAGTCAGTCTCTCGACTTAATCGTCAGTCACATCTGCCCTACATATACAGAAAATAAGGAATTTCTTTGTAGTTGTTGCAAAGACATTCTGATTTTTTTTTTAAATCAGGGCCTTAAAATGACCATTCAAAACTTTCAACTTATCCTTTTCTTTTTGAGTCTCCTTTAAGGTAAGAAAGACTCACTCCTTGCCATAATCTTTGTCATCAAAGTGACTATGTGCTTGAAGTATGTGATCTCCTTGTGCTTTATTCTCCATCTGCACCCCATACTGTGCTACTGCTCGTGGTAATTTAGGTAACCATGGCACTACCACATGCTACATATTTTATTATACCACACCCCAACAAGGATGTTGTCCATATATTCCTCAGATATGTGAGCAGTCTGAGCTGAGGCTACAGTAAGTAGCCTAGAGTGTCAAAAGTGGCCTAATCTAATGAGCTTGAGATGCCAGAAATTCCCTGGAGAACATAAAAGTTCAGGAAGATGATGCATGGTGGGAGTGTGGATCTTTCATGTGAAACCTTCCCAGACACTTTCTAGAAATATCTTATTGAGGCATGAAGTTCAAGAAATGCCTTGGTGAGTGGATTACCAGCGTCATTGAAAATCTCTGTGATGGCCGGTCCCTGTAGTCTTAAGATGACAATAGGTATGCTGAAATTTGAATTTGATAATCTGATTTAGTGGGAATAATGTGATAGGGAAGTTGGGGGTTTGGGGGTGAAGCTTAAATGTAAGAGAAGAAGTAAGTTGAGTTATAAGAAGTGTCCTAGGGACAAAAAATTTAAAATACAACAAATATCAGTGACGGTTTTACAGAAATTGGAACCCTTGCACCCCCCTTGTGGGAATGCAAAATGATACAGTTGCAATGGAAAACATTGGGAAGTTTCTTCAAAAATTGAAAGTAGAACTACCATATGATCCAACAGTCCAATTTCTGGGTATTTATAAAACAAAAAAATTGAAATTCAGATTTTAAAGAAATTTTGGCACTCACTCTCACGTTCACTGTAACATTATTCACATGCCACAATAAGGAAACAATGTGAATGTTTATCATTGAATGAACACATTTTAAAAAGTTGTACATATATACAGTGAAATACTATTCAGCCTTAGAAAAAGAAATCTTGCAATAATTGATAGTATGGATGAACCTTGAGGACATTATGCTAAGTGAAATAAGTCAACCAGACAGGACAAAGACTGAAGGGTCCATTTATATGAGGTATCTGAAATAATTAAAGAGGCAAAAAACAGAAGTGTGGGTGCTGCCAGCTGGTGGGGAAGGGGGAAACTGAAGGTACTAATCAATGGGTATAAAATTTCATTTATGAAATATGAGTAAGTTCCAGAGATATGCTGTGCAGATACATGTCTGTAGACAACAATGCTATATTTATTGTGTACTAAAAAAATGTTAAGAAGGTAGATTTTAAGTGCTCTTACCACCCTAAAACCAAAAAAAAAAGGCCCAAGAGACAGAGTGGCTTGATCCTCTAGGAATTTATCACAATGATAATTTATAATATTGATGATCAAATTTATAGGAAGGAAATGTATTCGTTTCCTAGGGTCATTATAACAAGTTGTGATGAACTTAGCTTAAAATAACAGAAATTTATTTTCTCACAGTTTTTAGGGGCCAGCAGTCTGAAATCAAGGTGTTGGCAGAGTTACGTTCCCCCTCCTGGATAGAACCTTCCCTTGTGTCTAACAGCTTCTGATGGCTCTCACTGTTGCCTGCTTTTTTGGCTTCATTGTCCCAGTCTCTGCCTCTGGGTGTTGAAGTGGGGAATCATAATCTTTGCAGAATTCTCAGACTTAAACCACTTCACAGACCCAGAGCTTCTGAATGGACGGAAAGGTTGGCTTCTGCACACTTATAGATGTTTACGGTGAATGTTCCTACAGGCCATTTTCAGTATTTTTTACCAGGGGACAATGCCCTGGGGAAAGGTAAATACCCAGACCTTATAAGTGTTCTTAGATACTGGCTTTGAAATGACTCTGATCTCCAGAGATTCAAAACATCCTATGGCCTGCTGGACAGAAAAGGGGTATGTGATATCTAGTCGATAGATCAGTTATTGGTCTAAATACATTCAGTAATGGGTGCATGATGATCATCGACTTATTCTATGTTTATTTCCCCAATCCAAGAAAATAAAGTGGGAAATGTATACTTTTTTTTTTTTTTACTGACAATATTGCCATACATTTTGTGACTCATGTGTGAGGGTT